CTCGCACTCCCGGGGCAGCGAGTCTCGCCGCCAAACTGGCCCGCCTGGCGCACCAAAGTACGTCACGCGGCGCGGCGCGCGGTGCCGCTTTGCGTGGCGCGCGACGTCACGCCGACGTCGGGATCTCGCCCATTCACACGCTGGCTGCACCTCACGCGGAGCCTCACGGAGCCTGGCGAAGCCGCGGTGTCACGTGACGTACGCGGCAACCTGCCTGGCGTGGCGGGGCCTGGCGTCCCAGACAACCAGACACTCAGCTGCACGCCACCGCGGTGGTGGTGTCGCCCTGAATCTGTCTCAGGGAATGGTCGCGAAACACACACACACACACACACACACACACACACACACACACACACACACACACACACACACAAGGGGGCTTTTCGTTTCCGTTTCCCAAGTCACTTGTCGCGACAGGGACCATGCGGGCGTGTCGGTTTGCTTAGTGCGTTCTCTTGTGAGGCACACACTCTCACACACATACTCAGACACGCCTGACGATGAAGACCCCTGCCCGGCCTGGCCGACGTCACCGAGTGCGTGCTTTAGTACTAAACCGCGAGCGGGGTTCGATATGTCATTAAGCGCCTTGACCGCGCTGCAGTGTCAATGCCCTGCACCACGGAGACATGCAGCGAGGTGGCCCTCGTCTCCACGCATGCACCCCGGCTGCCCTTCCCCTCCCTCCGCCCCCGCTGCATCGGCAAGGTCGGCTTGCGTAACGGACTATTCAAGTCGAGCGAGCGAAGACCGCCCCGCCGCGGCCCTCTCTTGGCCCTCTCCGCCCGCCTCCGGCGCGCAGCGCGCGGCGTCTCGCGCGGGTGTGCGGGTGACGCGGTGGGAAAGGGGGAGGGGGCGGAAATTTTAGAACTTTGTTAAAGCGTTCCCCGAGGCAGCGGGCGGCGCGCGGCGCGCGGCCTCACAGGGGTGCGAACCAAGTTATCGCCACATTCCCCGGCGGCTAGGCTGCCATGGCCAGCCCCCAGTCTAGCCTCGCCCGGCCTCGCCCGGCCTCGCCCCCCAGACGGGATCCACGGCGAGCGGCCCCCGCCCCACAGTGGGCCAGAAGACCGGCGGAGGCGGCCTAAACTCTAGACGCGTTTTGAGCTCCAGAGTCGCTAAACAGGACCCGAATCAAATGCGCCACCCCACCAACGGCTTTCTCGTTCGGAGGGCGGTTCGTTGGTGGGGTCACACGCCCATGTAATTTGTTATAAAAGAGCTTTGCCCCTCCCTTGGGCCGTCTCTGGATCCGCCACTGCCCGCCTGCCCTACTGGCCTAGTGTGGTGGACCCCTAGAGTGGACCACCGTGGTCGTGGTCCATCCCTCTCGACCTCACTGACTGCTGGCGTTGACGTGACGCGATGGTGCCCGATGCGACGGCCCTCCCGCACGCGCGGCCAGCAGCCTGTCTCTCTCGCACTCGCGCAGCAGCGCAGCACGCCCTGTGCGCGCGAGAGAGACAGAGCGGCGATAAAAAAATGAATGGCGATGTTCGGGAATGAGCCTGTGCAGTGCGGGCAGTAGGTGATTGCTGTTTGGACGGGGGCATGGCCTGGCCTGGCGTGGCGGGCACTTGGAACTGGAGGCGAACTGGAACAAAGAGGGGCCGCCCCGCCCCGCCCCGCCCCGCCCCGCCGAGCCACTGCGAGTCCGGAGTGAGCCGCCCGCTTCAATTTGGCACGAGTGCTCCGTTTGTTATGCGCGCGCCAAACGTGACGGGCGTGACATGCATCCTCGTAACGCCCGCCGCGCCGCCGCCGCCGCCGCCCGTCCGTGCGAGCGTGTGTTGGTGCGTGTGTGTCCTGCGCGGGCGCAATATCCATCAACATCAGACTGCTGCACACAAGGGCGTGCGAGGGGTCGAGGTCCGCGGACCCCCCCCCCCTAAAACCCACCAAAACCGCCCGAACCCGCGGGACGCGGGGTGAGGGGCAGAGCGGTGGCTTCACTTATTGAAATTTTCTGGTGGGGAAAAATGGCACTCGCTTGCTGTGAAGTGCCGGGCCACGCCCGCGGCCCCGCGGCCTGGTGTAACGGACTGGCCTTTCGGTTCGGCCCGGCGCCGCGGCCGGCTTGTTCACGAGGTGCCGCGGTTCGACGCGCACCAGGCGCCGCGCCAGACTGGACTCCGGCACTCGGCGACTTTGACAGAGAAGCAGAGCTAAACACCGAAAACAGCCATCACGTTTACTGCTCTTGAAGCCGCGCGCCGCACCAGCCGCGCCGCGCCACGCCGCGTCTCTGGCGGCCGGAGTAGTGTCCCAACTTGGCTGTGCAACTGCCGCGCGCTACGCGGCGCTACGCCGTTAAAGCCCTGCGGACTGATTCCGGGAGTCGTGTTCGTCGCTCCGTCTCTCTCCCGCCCATACGGGACGCCCCGTGAGTGCGAGAGAGACAGAGCGACGACTCTCGGAATCAGTCCGCAGCATGGCGATTGGTGGGCACCGTGGACGACGCTAGACCCGCTCGTCGCTGCGCTGCGCGGCGCGGCGCTTCCCTTACTTTATTAAACAGTAATACGCGTGGAGCGGACCGTTGAACGTTCCGCCAACTTGAGGCCAAGAAGTTCTCCTCTCCGCTTCGTCCGATTTCCTTGTTGCCCTTCCAGTGGCGCCGCCCCCGCCCCCGCCCCACCCCTTGGAACTCTGGAACGGCCCCGATCAAATAACCCCGATGCGCGCAAAAGTGGGAAGGCTGGGACTGCTTCTATTATTGTTTTTCAGCGGCCGGAACGCGGAACGCGAAGCGCTCTGTCTCTGTCGCACTCGTGGGGTGGTCCGGCGGTCCGAAGGGGTGCGAGAGAGACAGAGACGGACGCGACGACTCGCTCGGCCGCTCGCCCCTTCGAGATGAGCCCCCTCGGCTCAATGGCAGTAGTAGTACACCGACCGCCTCTAGTTTCCGAAGCGCAAGCCCTTTCGAGCTTGCAAGCTTTCGAGCTATCGAGCTTTCGAGCCATCGAGCTTTCGAGCCATCGAGCCATCGAGCTTTCGAGCTATCGAGCTTTCGAGCCTTCGAGCTTTTGAGCTTTCGAGCTTTCGAGCTTTCGAGCTATTGAGCTTTCGAGCTATCGAACTAAAGCTTCCGAGGTGGCGAAGGCGGAAAGCCGCGCTGGAATTGCTTCCACTCCCACTTGCTCCACTTGCCACTTCCGTCCCTTTGGCACTTCCGCCACTCCGTGGGGCCCGGCCGCCCTCGACTGCCCTCGGCCCGGAATGTGGACAATGCTACCGACATACCCCGGCCCCGCCGCCCCGCCCTTCTGCCTTCCCTCCTCGTTACAGTGCTGTCGGCGCGAGGCGCGAGGCGCGAGGCAGGCAACGGCCCTAGTCGAGCCAAGCCTCTTTGCAGTGGAGTGGGCATGTCGATGGAGCCCGGCACTGCGGCCTACTCGGAGCGACTCGGAGCCACAGCGGACTGATTCCGAACACTGCTCCGTCGCTCTGGGGCGTTCCTTCGGGGAGGATGCCCTCGTCCCCCCTCCCCCTCCTCCTGGATCCTCCTGGATCCGCGCCTGTGCGAGAGGGCACGCGTGCGGCACGGCGCGCTACATTTCGCGCGTGACAAGCGCCCACCGGCCGCACGCGTGCGCGCACACACACGGGCACACACACACACACACACACACACACACACACACACATACACACACACGCGCGCGCGCATTGTCTCGGCGCGATGATCCGCACGCGCGCGCTCCTTCTTATTGTCGTTTTAACATTCCGGCCAGCCGGCCGCCCCGCCCATATCGCCTCCCGCAGACTGATTCGGGGCGTCGCTCCGTCTCTCTCGCACCCATACGGGACGCCCCATGCGTGGCAGAGAGACAGAGCGACGAGAAATCGTCTCTCGGAATCAGTCTGCTGCTCCTCCTCCTCGTCGTCCTCCCGACATGCCGCCCCGCCGTTTTGCGGCTTCATTGTTTGCCAACCGGGGCGTTTGTTTCGACTTCGGCGTTGCGCCCCATTCCCCATTGTGCTGTGCCGCCGTGCCGCCCTGCCAGCACACTGCCAGTCGCTCTGTCTCTCTCGCACCTATACGGGGCGCCCCATGAGTGCGAGAGAAAGACTCTCGGAATCAGTCTGCACTGGAGTGGAGCTTGCACGTGACGCTCTGGAGGAAGGCCACTTTGCGACCGAGACCGCCCCGCCCCGCCCGGCCCGCGTGGTTTCGTGTTTTCATCTCTTTATTGTCGCTGCGCTGGCACGCGCCCCGCGCGTTCCGAAACGGTCAGGGCGGGCCCAGGCAGGCCAGGGTCCTCCTCCCTTTCTTGATCAACTCTTGGCGCGACCTGCACACTGTACCCGCGACCTCTGCCATGGCGCGGCCCGCGCCCGCCTTGTCTGCCGACCGGGGCCTCGAAACTGTGTTAGCACATGCAGCGGCGCAAGGTTCTGGTTCCGAGAGTCGTTCTCGTCGCTCTGTCTCCCTCGCACCTCTACCGGACGCCGCTTGAGTGCGAGAGAGACAGAGCGACGAGCACTACTCTCGGAGTCAGTCCGCTGGGCTGGAAGATGGAAGCGGTCCGCAAGCCTTTGTTTGATTGTTGTCGGAGGCGAGCGCCGATTGCCGATTGCGAAGGCAAATTGGTGTGATCGCCGCGCTGGGGCCTCCTCACTGTTAGTGGGAAGCTGAAGCTGCGCTGCACCGGCAGCTTCCAGTGACGTCATCGCCAGCGACGCGGAGTCTCGCCCTCGTCCTCGCGCGCTTTCCGGGCCTGGCGATACCCCACGCGCTGGGCCTTCCACGCCGCGCGGGGTATCGCCGAATTGGACATTCGAGTTGCACAGACTGATTCCGCGAGTCGTTTTCGTCGCTCTGTGTCTCGCACTCGTGGGACTTCTCTTATGGGTGCGAGAGAGACAGAGGGACTCTCTGAATAAGTCTCCAGCTGCTCTCATGGGGTCGAAATGGCCGTCGAGTTGCTGCTACGTCGAGACTTGAGATGCCTGGCCTAATGGTGCATGGTGGCGGTTTGCTTTGCGTGTTCCAGGCGACTGGGGAGGCCTGGTGTGCCCCCGGTCCGGAGAGGTGTCCCTGCTGTCCAGGCAGTGCCAGACAGACCGCGACTGCAAGGGCGTGGGAGAGCAGTGCTGCAAGGACCGGCTGGGCCTGCGACGCTGCGTGCTGGGAGTAGCGCCCACCATGCCGGACATACCCCACGAGCGTGAGTACCCAACGAGTGTTCTTTACCAATTTCATCCTTTCATTCAACTTTTTCATCATTTTGTGTGTTTGTTTAAGCGCAGCCTTTTTCGGGGTTGTCGCGAGAATCTGTCCCAACCCAGTGGATACTTTGGTCGAGCCATGGTCCATTACCAATTGTACGAATGATGACGACTGCTGGCCTAGAGTGTGTTGCGTGGACGGACCATATGCATACTGCAGAACACCTCAATTGGAATGGGAGAAGCTCCCAGGACAAAGATTCGTCGCTCGTAAGGATGACAAAACCCTACATGTCGATAATAATTTGAAATACTGCTCCATGCTTAAAACAATTTTTTAAAAATCTTTTGCAGCACTTCGTCTCCTGATGTCGTATCTGCAATGCACACCTCCACCCCCTCCCGTATTTGACCTTTTCCCAAAGTCTTGTCGGAATACTCTCGACTGCTTTCCAAACCTTTGCTGCCAGGAGAGAGGACGCAAAGTGTGCAGACCTCCAAAACGGTCACTTCTAGCATTATTAGCCACTATTGGTCAGGTAAGCAAGGTTCAATGAATGAAGTATCTGTACTCTCAACATGAGAACTGAATTCACATTCTTCCTCTCTAGGGTGCGGGTTACTTCACATCTCAACAGATGAGGCACCACTGATCCTTTGAAACCCTTCGCCAATGCTTTAAATTTACTACTAAGACTTAGTACAAATATACAGATTTAAGTTAATTTAGGGTAAGCTGTTATATGGACTGAACTAGTGATTAAGAAAATAAATGATGCAGAATTGTCTTGAAAGTCAAATAATGTAATTAACAATGTTCCTCTAAGTGTAAAAATTGTTCAAGTTTGAAATATAACCATGTTGAAAAAAGATTAAGATTTAGTTGGAATGGGAATGGTCAAAGCAAACACATGTTCAAGTTTTTTTTTAGGCATTTAATAATAAATTCACTGATTGAGATGACATTTTCAGGAGCACCTTCAGAGATGTAGATGAAGGGTTGAAGCCTTAAAATTAACTATGAATCTAATCCAGCTGTAACAAACAAAAAGAAAACACAATATTAGATTCTGAGAGAAAGGGCCAGCAAGATGTCAATAGACAAACAGTAGTATGAGTCTCAGACCGCCCTAGATAATAACTTCATTTGAAACATCAGTTCCAAACCAAAAAAACAGATATCTAGAATCATCATAGACTGTTCACTACAACAACGATCTCAGATCGCCCTCAAAAATGACTACGTTTTCCAAGCAAGACCCTTACCTTCTTGAAGCCAATGTCGTTGGCATATTCTCTGAAGCACTGTCTGCAGAGGTTCAGGCCATACTTGCGGATGAGACCGTGGCCGTTGGCGCAGGACCGGCTGGAACAAACAAACCAAAGTGAGCATTAAGATGTCACAGAGAGTGGAAAAACCAATACAAGATTGTAGGCAAAGATTTAAAAACACGTTTGGACCACCATTTATCAAGAAAGGGTGCAACATACATAGTCGATAGGAAAGAGAGCCAGGACGAATAAAAAGCTCTGCCACCTTAAAGACGGCGCAGTGCAAATACGAAACGATAGGGGTGCTAGTCGGAGAGAGTTGCGACCAGAGATAGCAGACTCAAGCTCGCGGCTGTTGTACCGTAAACAGACTCACGGTGCCACCTGATGGAGAGGTTAGGAACGCCGCAATCGAAACGAGCAATGACAGATACGGTCCAAAACGTGGGGGAGGTCGAAATGTCGTGAAAGGTGGTAAAGCACACACGTGAGAGGCACGAAAAGTGTGTAATACAGGGAAAATATCCAACAAGACACAGATGACTTGGCGAGTGGCAGGACGATCCAAGAACTTGCCAAACGAGTTCAAAAGCAGGCCGAATACGTGGAAACAATATTTCAAGCGAAATTCACTTACCAAGACCTGGAACCCTGACCGTATCTCCTGGGGTGGGAGTACCAGATATTTTGGAAACCCATTTTGAGAATGTATTTGCTGCGGCGAACACGCGGTCTAAGACGGTAAAGAACCGAAACGGAAGAGGTGAGAAGAACCAAAGGAGGAACGGCCGGAAACGAAACTCTGTTAAATGGGTGGTCGAAGACGGTCAAATGCTGGATGGTATGAATAAATGCATTCAAGACCCAATACCGACTAGAGATTAAAAGAGAAACAAAATAAAAATTTTCAAATCAGCCAGAGGGTGCAGAGGGTTTTGATTTATTGATTAAGAGGAAAAATTGATCTCTGTTTGTGTTGCGTATTTCAGCCGCACAGATGGCAGCACCTTACGGAACTCCCTAAACAAAAACGAAAAGCTCTCGTATTTTCTTTCTGCTGTAACGTTTTAATCGTTTGTGTTGCTTGTAACTATATTCTGGTGTGCTGGCGTACATTTTTGACTGTCAAAACTCTGCACTCGGTAATTTGAAGTTTTATTGTTCGCATTCGTTGCCTCTTTCAATAAATGAAATATAACCTCTAATATAGAGAGCTAGCTATCTGTGTTGTTGAAAAAGGTCTTTATCCATGCTGTGACAATATCACTTCATGAACAGACAACTTAATTTTAGTATTTCAGTTTTAATCGTGTTTCATTTCTTGTGTAGCTTCATTCCCTCAATTGTGAAATGTAAACATGTTTATGATTTTTACATTGATGTGATTTCAGATCTGTACTGTGACACTTGTGTGTCGCCCATCTACCCTCAGCTCATTGATCACATTTATCTTACACAATGGGTGAACGCAAGGGACAAAATCATTACTACCCCCCGGACTATGATCCACGCAAGGGTAGTCTCAATGCATTTCTTGGAACCCATGCCTTACGAGAACGGGCTCGAAAAATTCATATGGGCATTCTCATCATTCGTTTTGAGATGCCTTACAACATTTGGTGTGATGGCTGCAAGAATCATATAGGCATGGGAGTCCGGTAAGTTTACTCTCTGTACAATTTCTATTTACTCCTTTATGGTATGTTTGTAACATGTTCTCAATGTCCTTCAGGTACAATGCAGAAAAAAAGAAGATAGGGATGTATTACACAACCCCAGTTTATCAGTTTCGTATGAAATGTCATCTGTGTGATAATCACTTTGAAATTAAAACTGATCCAGGGGTGAGCATCGTATAGTGTTTCAAAGTATTCTTTTGTATGAAATCAGAATTTAAAAAATTCTGAAACCACCTTTGTTTGTTTCAGAATCTAGATTATGTCATAGTTTCTGGTGCAAGAAGACAAGAGAATCGCTGGGATCCAACACAAAATGAACAAGTTGTTCCCGAGGACAAGGACACACAAAAGCGCCTTTTTGATGACTCTATGTATAAACTGGAACATGGAAACAAAGATGAGAGCACTGCTAAGAGAGTTGCTCCAGTTCTGGGTCGTTTAATGAACAGAAATGAAGAAGCTTGGAAGGATGATTTTGCAGCTAATGCAGCTCTCCGTTCAAAGTTTAGGGTAAGATTTTGCTTTTATCTTCTACCATGATCTATGTTTTTTGAAAGCATTCTGCTTGTTCATTAATTCTATTTTATTCTGAGAGCTTTTAAAACTTAGTTGTAACATTTCTTTGCAGGCCAAGAAAAAGGAATTAATGAAGCAGGAACAGAAGGATGCATTACTGCTCCGTAAATCATCTCTTAGTATAAATTTGCTCCCAGAAAATGAAGAAGATATTCGCTTAGCATCACTTCTTGCCCTAGCTCCTTCAAAAAGTAAGTGAATTATGTATGATTTTTCTATTTTTTAGTGTATCTATGTTAATATTGCTAATTGTATATTTGTTCATTCTTACAATAGCTATGGTGGAAAATCAAGAAACTGTTCGTGAAAATATAATGAAGCGTCCTGCATTACCAAGTAGTAATGGAACATCTCCTGGGTTTCTTGGAATGCAAAATGCTAGAAGACTTGAAGAACAACATAAAATACGTAAAAAGATTGGCACAATAGTTCGTACAAAGGTTCAGGTGAAGAGTTTTTCTCCATCCATTCCGTCATCAGATGACAGCATAGCAAGTGATGTGTCAAGTCCATGGGATTCATCACTATCATCCGAGAGTGTTGCCTCACCCTTATCCACTGATACACTCAGCATCACCTCTCCCCAACCAAATGAGGAGCCTGAAGATGAACAATTGGAACCAGTTGAAAAAAGAGTTAAAACTGATGGTCCCACTAGTTCTACCTTAGAGCAAAACATTGAATCAGAAAAGCGTATCAGCAGTGTCAAGACAGGCTCCTTGGTATCATGCGACTATGAATCATCTGGTTCTGATGATAATTGAATGTTTACTTTTTTCATGTATCCATGCATTTTTAGATGTAATGGATATGTGATGTGTCTGTGATACCAGCCAATTAAGTTGTTTATAAAACAAGATGTGTCTGTGGTATATTGTCAAAGAAATTGTTATAAAATATCTATAAATTTTATGTCTGGTTTCTTTATTTTATCCCAACCTGTATCTCAGATAAGTCATGTAAATTCAGTTACTGCCCCTGGTTTTGAATAGGGTCAGTTAAGTTTGTTTAGTGTGTTTTGATGTAAAGGACGAAAAGATGCAAGAACAAAAGTAATTTGGTCACAACAATCTGAATAAATTATATTAATCAATATGTGACAATAATCATATTAACATAATTATAACAAGGCCACATATCACAAAATGTAAATATTTGTGAAGCAGCAATCAACGGACAATTTACAGGAAAAACTCAAAAGCTATTAAAAACTGTACAAGATGCTAAAATATCTATGGCAAATAAAACAAAATACAATATACTACATGGCTATAAAGAGTGCAACAACTAACATCCATCCTAAAAATTTTAGTGACAGGCAGGGAGAAACATTAACTTTCCCATACAGTTTTTGAGTCTTGGAGACATAAATGACAGACAAGTAAACACCAGTGTTTTACTTTGCACAGTTTCTCTGTGACATAGTTCACTTACAATAGAAGATGCAGCATAATTTGGGACACACATAGTTTATGGCAATTTCACAGCACAGAATGTTTTTTTCCGAGAGAATGATACAAAGGTGAATGTAATAAGTAATGAAAATGTGCTTAAAATTACGTAAATATGCAAGAAAAAGCACAATAAATTCTATTATAATAGCTGACTTGATCTACATACTTCTACAGAGGTATCTGTGCTGTGTGCCGCTCTTACTGCTTATGAAACTACACACATCAGTCTATCAGAACTTAGGATCGAGTCCACCATTGTTTTTCATTCATTAATATCACAAAACATTCAAAGTTACTCTAAAGAATTGATACAAAACAAAAAAAGTTACAAGCCGAGAATAAAATAACTAAAAACAAAACCGCTCTCTCAATTGATGCTCCAGTACGAAAATATCACAAAACTAGGCAGGATTGCTGCCCAACAACTATGTCACTCGCAAACCAAAGGACCACTCAGAAACCACTTCAGCAGACTCCACTTCTCTCCTCTGAATCGTCACGTGGTTTCTGATTAGTCCACAGCCACTTTGAGTGCAAGCCAGCAGTATGACTAAGGATGTGAACAGACAGCCACCTCTCAACCGGCCCCTTTGAACACAAAAAAAGCCAAGACATCTTTCGAAGAACGCCAACAATCAGGCCAACGAGGGAAGCACTACCAGACCATGATTAAAAAGAAAAAAAGGAAAAGAATTGAATTAAGCCAGGGATGAAATTTTAAATTTAAATTTGGCGGGATATCAATAGATTAATTTGAATTTGGGATGATGGTAATATTTCCATTAAAAAAAGACAGGGTAAGGTAAGGGGAGGTGGAGGAGATCACGTCTGTCCACGAATCGGCCATCTACAACAACAAATTCCGCGTGGAATTTTTTTCTCAGGTGCCGAATGTTTCACGTTTTTTTTTTCCAATGACTAGTATGGATTAGCGACATCGGAAGACTGTCGAGGCTGCCGTCTAGACTAACGCAGCACGCTACCACAACACACAAGTACTATGAATCCACAGATACACCACCTGAGCGCAAAGAAAACTAAGTTGAGGAAACAAGGATGAATTTTACAATCAAATCCAGATAAATTTCAGGCCGGAGAATAGGAAAAAAGTTTAAAGCTGAATCTATAACATATATCAGTAGACACAATGACGTTCAAAAGAACGGATCTGGCAAAGACTATCTGATTCGAGCCTGAGGTCCGGGATTGACGTGACACACAGATGTAGGGGGATGAGATGAAACCCGTCAATCCTCAGGCTGTCCTAAAGAGGGCCAACGAAGGGGTGACCGTCTCGGCTCGGGCCGAGTCTCGGGCCGAGCTGGCCTCGCGTCTGCTGATGAAGAAGGCCTTGCTTGCGTCCGGCCGGTGTGGGCCGTGTTCTCGGCGCTGTTCCTCGCGGTCGAAGGATATCACAAGGAGTACGGAGACCTGCAACACAGAGGCACGACACGGATTAAAACAACGCCCTGCAAGTCTTGGGTGACAACGCCTAGCTACGCCTACCCCTGCAGACAGACGCACGATGGGTTGCCTACCGGTGCCTGTGGGCCGGATAGGGCCGGAGCGCCGGGCGGGTAGGCCACCCATTGTGCGCGGCGGGGTACCACCGGGCCCCGTGCTACAGTGTGCTGCCCCGCCTGCCTCAACCGCCCTCAGTGTGTGGCCAGGCCGCGGCCGGGCAGCCAGGGCAGCTAATGCAATGTGACCGCGCCTGCATTTAATAGCCCATAAAGGAGGTAGGCCCTCCCTTCTCCTTCTCTCCCTTCACAAACCGGAAGGCCCGTCTCGCCTCAAGGCCCCCGCCCTTGCGGTGCAGGGCTGGCCCGGGGGCCCCACAGCCTTGGGCCCTGCACGTCGCTGTCTCTCTCGCGCCTAAACGGGACGCCCCATGAGTGCGAGAGAGACAGAGCGACGACTCTCGGAATCCGACCACCGCCTTGCCCGTGCGCGGTCTGCAGCCCCGCGCCCTTTACTTGGGGTCGCAAACGCCCGGCTGGGGTTAGCGGTCCGACAGGACTAAGTCGGCCAGCCCTTCGTCCTTCGTTAACGGCGTGCGCGGCGGCGGCGTCTTGGCGGGGGAGAGGGGGGGGGGGCTATCAAACGACAGTGTGAACACCGAGCCAGACGCCGGCCGGCTTATCGGCAAAGGGCGTCAAGTAAAACGGTATCCAAGTAGTGGGCAGTGCCACATTCACACTGTGCCGCGGGCCGTGACAGGCTGGCGCTGTTATAATGGAGCCGTCTCCAACGGTCTTCTGGCCCACTGTGCGGCCGGCCGCGCCCTCGCCCTCGCCCTGTCGAGGCTGACTAACAGCATCATTCGCGCCACAATGTGCGCGACAAGGTTAATGTCTCACCGCCCCAAAAAACATGAAAATTAAAAGCCAAATCCGTCGAGGGGGAAATTTACCACCGCGGCTGCAAAGGGTTTTTCTTTCTTTTTTGTTCTTATCCGCATTTGCCTGGTCGTTCCATCTTTCTCTCTCGCACTCGCCGTCTCGCGCGTCCACTGTAAGGTCCACTGAGGCGCGACTCGGCGATAACCACCGCGGCTGCAGTCCTGCAGACTAATTCCGAGAGTCGTTTTCGTCGCTCTGTCCCTCTCGCACCAAAGAGGCGCGCCCTGCGAGTGCGAGGGAGACAGAGCGACTCTTAAAAAGAGTCCGCTGCAGTCGCGCTTCCCCGGCCGGCCTTTTTAGTGCCGAAAACTCGCCGCCAGAAAGCCTTGTGCAACCTGTCTACAGTGGTGTCGTCGCTCTGTCTCTCTCGCGCTCACGGGGCGGCCCGCAGTGGTGCGAGAGAGACAGAGCAGCCAAGATAAACTCGATTAGCATAAGAGGAGCAGCCACGTGAATGGCGAAGGGGCGGCGGCGACAAGAAGGGCAACACTAAACAAAAAAGGGGAGCCCCATGAATACAGTGCACCAGACTGATTCCGAGAGTCGTCGCTCTGTCTCTCTCACACTCATGGGGCGTCCTGAAGACGTGCGAGGGAGACGAAAACGGCTCTCGGAATCAGTCTGCGGTGCATCGGGTCCACCGGGCCAGGCGGCGATTCGGGCACCTGGAAGGTGTGACAAAGTAGGCGCGGCAGGTAGCGGGGGCGGAGGGGGGGGATGTGGAGCAATAAACATCCTGGCCGCAGCCTGCAGCCCGCAGCGCTGCCCAGCGGACCATTCGGCCGCAACCCACTTTTGTCGCGCGGCTCGCCGTGCAAGGCGCATTATGGCTGTTGCATCACCAAAGTGCACTCCTCGACGGCGGCCGGGATAAGGGGAAGAATATGTGGAGCGAAAACAGGGCTAGGGCAGTGCAAAAAAAAGGCGCAGCCACGCCACCCTGCAGACTGATTCCGAGAGTCGTTTCCGTCGCTGTCTCTCTCTTGCACCCGTGGAGGTGCGAGAGAGACAGAGCGACGAAAACGACTCTCGGAATCAGTCTGCTGCTGCTTCCGCGTGCGGACCATCGCGTCTCAAGGTGCTGTGGTAGGTACACTGTTGGCGTACTCGCACTCGCACGAAAAAAAAAAAGCCACCGCAAAAAATATGAAAATGAAATGAAATTGATTAACGTTTCGGATTGCAGCAATAATGTGTGACTGCAAGCAAGGCAAGCAAGCGAGCAGTGTTGGCGTTGTATAAATTCCGCGCCGGCCGTGTCGTATCCCCGCTCGGATCCTATCCTACAGTGCAGTGATTGACGGTCCAGGGACACGGGCACGGCCAGGACGGCGAGGACGCGCCGGTCGCGTGTGCCTGAGTGATTGCGGAGGGGCTCGGGGGGGAGCAGCCATCAATGTTGTTGTTGTAAACCGATTTGGCGGCGTCGCGGCGTCGTCGTCGTCGACGTCGTCGGCCCGGCCGAGCACGCCGAGCACGAGTGCAACCGGATCGGGGGATTATAAAAAGGGTGAAGGCGTCATGAATGCCAAACCGCACACAGCAGACAGCTTCACGCCCCTGCGATCAAGGGTTGAAAAAAAAAACGAAGGAGGAGGAGGCTTTTCATCATCCAGCACTGTTGGCCGTCTCTCTCTCTCTCTCCGTTTTTACGACGCGCCGCGCCTCGGTGACTAAGTCTGCGCGATGACGCCGCTGACGTCGCCGGCCGCAGCCCTGTCCGCTGTTCGAACACCGTCCGCCTTCGCCTCGCCTTCATTTGTTTATTTATTCGTTTTCAAACCGGACGGAAATAATTGGCGGAGGCTGACACCGTGCCGTGGGTCTTTTAGTGGCACTTGGCGTTCGAATCAAACGTCCAGTTATCCAGTGTGCTGGGCGTGTTACATTGCATGCGTGCGTGCGTGCGCGCGCGCGGAGGAGTGAGTGTGATGTGTGTGATGTGAGTGGAGAGGAGAGAGAGAGAGAGAGAGAGAGAGAGAGAGAGAGAGAGAGAGAAGGTGTGTGTGAAGGATCGTGTGCGTTGTTATGTGGGTTGTGCCACATATTGGTGTCGCCTTATTTCTTTTCTCTGCGTGCATTTCATGCATTCTATGCATTTCTTGTTGTTATTACGATGAAGCTATAAACAGTCGAGGCGTGCTGTGCTGCGCTGTGCTGCGGTGTGCTGCGCTGCGCCCGGCACGGTCCGGTGTTATGTTTTACGACGCCCAGGTTTATGAACAGCGACCGAGCAGCAAGCAGCGGAGCTTTCGCGGTCCGCGCGAGGGCCGCTGGGCCGCGAGGCGCGATGCGAGGCGCGATGCGAACGGAGTGACACATTTTCGCAACGAGCTGCCGAGCGATTCCGGAGGCCCGGGGGGCAGTTTCGTTGTTCCGTCTCTCTCGCACCCCTACGCGTCGCGGCGTGAGTGCGAGAGAGACGGAGCGACGCAACGACCTTCGGGACCAACCTGCTGCTGCAGCCTCTCGGCGCGGTCGCCTCGCCACTGACGCGGGCCGAACACAGCTTCCGTTTGTGTCTCGCTCGCACTCACGGGGCGTCCCACGGGGCTGCGGGGGTGCGAGAGAGACAGAGCGACGCGACGGAAGTGGGGACGCGGCCCAACCAGTCCCGCGCCAGCCACGCCGAGGGGCCAGCCAATCGGCGTGGGCCGCTGGCGAACGCGTGCCGCCGCGTGCACAGCCGGCCGGAGCGCCTGCGAATCGAGTGTAGGCAACCCGGTGGCCACGGCCGCGCGGCGCCGGGCCTACGCGGCGCCGTGGAGGGGGGCATGGCTCTGGGGGCAGGGCGCGGCGGGGCGGGGCGGGTGAAGCGACCTGGAGGCGGCACCGTCATCGCCATGGAGAGTCGGGAACCTGTAGACACGACGACCAAAAGCCACGCAAGGTGCGAGAGAGACAGAGCTACAAACGGCTCCGCAGGTGTCCGAGATCGAGTTGGAGAGGGAGGATGAATGCAGAATACAGGCCACCCTACCCCAAACAACAGGCTAATACCCTATCCAACTGACTGACCGACTTACTGCCAGTGTGGTGGTGTGTCGACGCGGAAGGGTCGGAGGGAAGCCGACAAGGGGAGGATGCGGCGCGGCCCTTTGGATAAGCGTTTAAGGGCAATAAATGGGTCTTTAGTGGGACACCGCACGGCACAGCGGCGTCTTGCCCCTGTTGTTGTTGTTGTTGCCGCCCTTGTTGCGGTGCAGTGTAAACGACCCCGGGGCGGCGGCCTGTCTGTCCGAAGTCCGAACGCCGCACGCGAGCCCTGCCACCCTGCTGGCCTCGGCTATGCCGCGCTGCCGCCTTGAGTCAGGCCCGCGCCCGCCTGCTTTGTCCGCGCAGACACAATATAGGAGCGCGGTGCGCTGTCGCTGTGTGTTAGTTTCGTGTTTCGGGGTGAACGACGATCCTGCAGCAAGATGGCCAGGAGACTGATGTCGAGAGAGCGAGGAGCAAGACTCTCAGCGCGATGCTCCGTCCTCCTTTGGGAGACAAACAACACTCGCCTGCTGCTTCCAGTGCCCCCGCTCGCCTCGCGGAGCCGCACCGGCACTGCGAATAGTCCACACCTTGCTTATGCGCACGCCAGAGCACGCGTCCGACGCGTCGTCCCGCGTATAAAGCAGCCTGCCAAAGCTAACACACTGACACTTGGAAAACCGCAGCCTACACGCCGCGGCCGCCGCCGTGGCACCCACCCGCCCGCCGCCACCCGCCCCCCCCGCCCCGCCCGCCCAGACGTCCCCTACAATCTCTTTTTACTGTCGTTTTTACGGTTAGACTTTGCTTTAAGGAGCCTAGCCTGCAGCGGGGCTCAGCAAGCAGGGCCTGGCAGGGACGCCCCGTTGCACCTACCCCCTCCCTCTCTCTCTCCCTCCCCCGGTGCAGCAGCCCCGCGCGATCAAAATAAAGGGAAAAGAAAGAGAGAGACGTAAAAAGGCGCTCAGAAAGGAAACGCAAGGCGGGCGTCTTTGCAACCCCCACCCCTTCCCCCTCGCCCTCGCCGTCGTCAGCGCCAAATCAAATTTCCAGCGCCTCGGATCTGGGATTCGCGGAAAATAAAAGGGACGCTTGGAGGGCTTTGGGCAGGGCTGGCTGGGTAGCGGACCGCGTTCAGGGTCGACTCGACTGCCGACGGACTTCACCCAAAAATGACGATTGTTGGACCAGGATGAAACAATCAGGTGCAGATACTTGAAATAATCAAGTGAATTCATTCGAAGCTTATTTTTTTGGTTCCAGAAACGCCTTTTTAGGGGGTTGCAGCCTTCGTTGCTCCACGCTCGAAAAATGTCACGTCTTTTGCAGTGTCGAGACCAAGGGACGTTCGCGGGAGTTTGGACAGTCACTTCCCCTCCTTCCCGCTTCCAAAACAACGACGAGGATGCGGCGTTTGCAGTGCAGCGACCGACGGAGAGGACCGCCCTTGCCGCGCGCAGGATCGCTCGGGCGTCTCCGAGAGGTTCTCCCTCAATCACCTGCAAATCCAAGTGCCCCCCCCTTCCCCCAAACCACCTCACGCGCAGTAAAACGCCAAAAAGAAAGAAGTGGAGGGGGGGGGACGCACAGCCAGTGCAGCAGGAATAGTAGTAGACGAGGCGAGGGGGCGTGGGAGAGAGAAAGAGAGAGGGAGGGGGAGGGAAGGGCTGATTACGATGCAGTAAATGTCAAACACGGGCCTGCATCGCAATTTACTGCTGCCCCCCGCTATCGCGCGCTCTCTCGCTCTCGCAGGCCGGCCCGGCCGAGGCTGCCCCAGGCCCGGCCGTGCGCGCCGCTGCAGCTGCTATTTTCTGCATCTTTTCGTCCGCGAGCAACGCGTGCAACACACACCTGGGGGGCTGCCGCACACTGATTCCGAGAGTGTACATGCGCTGTCTCTCTCGCACCTTAAGGGCACGTCGCATGCGAGAGAGAGACAGCGACGAAAACGACTCTCGGAATGAGTCTGCAGGGCCCGACCCGGGTCGGGCCGCGACGTGCGTCCAGGCGGCGTGCACTCACACCAACACTCACACACTGTGTGTGTGTGCGCACGACACAGCAAGAGAAAGACTTCACCTTATGGCTTTTCCTACGCACTTGCGCATTTGCTTCCCAAACCCTGCGCTCCCAAATGCCTGCAAACTTCTGTTGCGCGGAAACACAAAAAAAATGGAGCGACCGGCTCGGGGGTTCGAACCTCCGACTCGGTCTTTTTCCGGGCGCTCGCGCGTCGCGACTGTTCCTCCAGACACAGCCGCACACACGACGGCGTCGCGTCTCGGCCCCGCCCCGCCCCACGCTCGCCTCGTTAAACCAACATTATATTATTCTGCGGAAATTTATGGTCGAGTTTGCGCTCGAGCCGTTTCACTTTAAAACTTTAAGGACGTAAACACATACGACGCTCCCGGCCGGCAAGGCGAGGCGAGGCAAGGCAACGCCGGGCGGGCAGGGCGAGGGCTCCACTCCACCGCGGTGCACCGGTCTGACCCGTGTCGATGCACTGCTGCACTTATTATGCCAAACTCGCACTTGCCGAGCCCGGCGCCTAGCCTCGCGCTAGCCTCGCGTCGAGCGCCGCTCAGCCGCCTGTTTACTGGTGTGATCGGATGCCTCAGCTTTTTGCCCACCCCGTTGGGCAATAAACGAACTTCCCCCTCTCCCCCTCCCCGTCTCCCCTTCCTTCCAGTTCCGGTCGTAACACGCGCTTCCCCTTCGGAAGTCACCTATTTACCGCGCTGCAGCAAGCTCGCGACAAAAAAAGAGAGGTGCCGTTCGATCGGCTTGGCTATAGGGGACTTGGAAAGACTTGGCAGGACTTGGAATCTTTTGAAGGGGCTTGGCAGGGCACAGTGGGCAAGAGGACCGGTGAAGGCGGCCGAAATTCTTGGGACGTGTTTTGAGCTCCAGAGGCGCCGAATGGGACTTGAATCGAACGTGTGTCTCCACCAATGGATTGCTCTCCGAACGAGGAATCCATTGGTGGGGTCACACGTTCGGTTCGAGTCCTGTTCAGCGACTCTGGAGCTCTAAACTCGTCTGGAGCTTTGGCCGCCTCTGGCCCACTGCGCAGGGCTAGGGAGGACTTGGGCCCTACTCACCGTGTGGCGGTGTCCGGGGGCCTGGGCGGCCTGGGCGCTGCCGTGGCGCCTACGAGGTGGGCGTCACGTTGCCGGGGCCCTGCCCGGGGCAGCGCAGTCGGAAGGGCGGTGGCTCGGGCGAGCCCGGAGGGGGCGCGGCCAGCGGCCCGCTGGAGATGGAGGAGAGCCCCAGGCCCGGCCCCGCCGGCCCCGCCGGCCCGGCCCCCGAGGCGCCGGGCGCACCGGGCGCCAGGGCGAGCGCGGCCGGGTACGGCATGCCCTGCAGGTGGTGCAGGTGGTGGGGGAACAGGCCCGCCATGGCGCTGGACGCGGGGTGGTGGTGGTGGTGGTGGTGCGGCGCCGCGGCCCCGGAGTGGTACGTCAGGCCCAGCTGGTACTGCAGCGGCGTGATGGGCGCGATGGAGCCCAGCGACCCGATGGGCGTGCACAGCGCCGACGCGGAGTACAGGTGCGCCGGCGGCAGCAGCCACGGCATCTCGCTGCCCTGGCTCACCGACATCGTCAGGATCTCCTCCTGGGCTGCGCACAGAAGAGAAGGCGGAGGTTAACCCCGGGCAAGGCTGGCACGACGTCCTGTCGGGTCATTCGGTCAACGTCAGCGGGCGCACCGCGGGGCCAGACTCCCGCCAAAACAAAAAGTGCGGCTTCAGCGGGAGTTGAACACGCGGCCAATAACGTCGAGAGTCATGTCGCTTGGTGGGCCGGCTTGTCAAGGACGGGGGACGTCGCAGCGCCGCGTGAAACACGTCCGTCATAAAGACCCCCTCGTCCGACGCGGCGACGCGACCACGCGGTGCAGCGGGGAGGAGCGACAACATTGCGGCAACAACAACAACACGGACTTTGTACCGAAAAAGCCCGCGGAGCGCCGGGCAGACCAGCCAGTGGACCGATCCCGAGAGTCGCTCTGTCTCTCTCACACTCACGGCACGTCACGTGTAGGTGCGAGAGAGACAGAACGACATTGGGAATCAGTCCGCGGCCGCGGCCGGCCGGCCACGCACGCGCCGCAAAGCCAGGCAAAGCCCGACAAAGTGCGCGGCTGGCGCGAAAACTTGGCAACTTTGCAAATAAATTAGGCAGGCGGAGTATTCAGATTTTATTTCTCGCGCGCGGCAAAGCCAGGCAACCGCGGCCTCCGCCGTCGTCACATTGCAATCTTTACGGCGGCACCGGCGCGCTGCAGACCGACTCCGAGAGTCGTCACGCTGCCTCTCTCGCACTCATATGGGGCGTTCTTACAGGTGCGAGAGAGACAGCGCGACGACCCTCGGAATCCGTCTACTGCACCGAGTCGCCCCGCTCCCCCCCGTCGCTCGCGTCCCCGTCAACCAGTACGCCAAGCTGTCAGTCTGTCGCCGTCCGTCCGTCCGTCAGTCCGTGGGCAGCGTCACCCCGTCAGTCCTGTCAACAACAACAACAAGAGGGTGAATGGCGCGGCTGACAACAAAAGCGGGGCGCTAAACGAAATAGGGACCAAGCCAAAGTGGCCGGGCCGGCTACCGCTTGGCGGAGCTGCCCCACTAGAAGTCCGCCCTGGTGGCGGTCTGCCGTCCACCCCCGCGTCCATTTGCCAGCACCTCGCCGTCGACGCGCGCCAGCACACTGGTTCCGAGAGTCGTTGTCGTCGCTCTGTCTCTCTCGCACTCATGGGACGATCTGCATTGGTGCGAGAGAGACAGAGCGACGAGAGCGACCCTTGGAATCAGTCCGCTGACACGTAATTGTCGACAACTGCCCGTGCATTTGCGGCTTGGCCTGCATGGGCTGCTGACACCCCCCCCCCTCTCTCTCTCGCATCAAGAGTGCCCTGGTTCCGGACTGGGCCTCCGTTTCTGAATCTGACCCAGTCCCCGTGGCCAAGGGGGTCGAAGACGGCGGCCTCCTCGGGGGCGGTGGAGCGCCTGGGGCGTAGGCAGACCCGGTGTACAGCCGTGCCGCTGGACTGCCTACAGTGTAGCGAGACTGAAAAAGCACACACACACAAATCTACGCCGCAACGCCGCGCGGTCAGCCAGCAGGAGCCAGAATCGTCATCCAAATGAGGACGAAGAAAAAGTCCCGGCGATCCAATGAGGTGCATTAAGATGCGCATGTCAAGTGAGGAATTTTCGCAGACGTGACGTGGTCGTCCAGCCAGTGTAGGGGACCGAGCTGACGGCAAAACTCCACACCGAATCGCCTCACGCGTCAACGCGTCGCCGCGGCACGGCCGGCACGGCAGTACGGTGTGGTACCGGGGCAGCCTGCCAAGGGAATGCCGGGCCACAGCGGCCTACCCAGTGGCGCCCCCAAGCCGCTTCTTTCGCAACTTCTTTCGCAGAGAGATACTTTCAAGTACTTTTTTAAAGAAAAAAGAAACTGTGAGTCTGTAAGGTTTTTCAGAGTGTGCCTCTCAACCCGTCTGTCTCTGGATCCACCCTATAACGTCGGCGTCGCTGCTTTGCCTAGAGTGGGAATCTCAGCCCTGCCGTCGCAGGAGGGGCAAACGGGCGACTTGGGGCTCTGCTCTCCAGTGGGTACACCACGTGGTCGAGGTCGACGGGAGACTGATTTTTGCGCGAATCCCCTCCGCTTGCAGTGCGTCGCGCTTCCCCCGAGGGTGTAGCGGCGTCCTATCCGCCCCGCCGGTCCCGCTCGCCAGGCGACGCCCGGCGACGCCAGGCGATGGCTGTAACGACCATGTAAAGCAGACGGACAACAAACACGCCTATAAAACAAACATATGTTATGGCCACGATTGATTCATTCGGCGTGCAGCACTCCGTCTCGCTCGCACCCGCGGACCGTGCACGGAGGGACGCCGGGACGCCCCGCGAGTGCGAGAGAGACGGAGAGCCAGCCTCGTCTCGCCAGCCTGCTGCAGGTACACTGCAGGTACACGCGAAACGCGATAAAGCCGAAACCGCCCGCGGCGCAGCGATGCGACCGATAAGGTTTTCAGAAAGGGGCGCACGCGAGCGCGCACGAGTGGGGATTCGAACCCGGGACGGTGACAGTACGACGGCCTCGCAGGTGGTGCACCCCCCCCCCTCCCAAATCCAGGTGTGTGTGTGTGTGTGCGTGCGTGTCGATGGGGCCGTCGACCCTTCTGAAAGCGGAGAAATGTAGGCAAAACGCCGCGCTTTGACCCCGCAAGTAGACAACATTTGCAACCTCTCCCCCCCTCTTTGGGCCTCCGTCTCTGGATCCGCCCTGGCCAGCCCCCGCTGGCTGACGAGACACAAGCGGCAGCTTGGCCCCACATGTGGAAAGGCGCCGCGGTTAAGATTTACAGTGCGGGCGCCGCTTCCGGCCTCCAAATTTCCCTCTTCCCGCGCTTTTCTTCCTTTGCGCGCCGTTTTCGGACCGCCAGACTCCCTCCCTCCCTCTCTCTCTCTCCCTCTCCCCCCCCCCCCTCTCTCTCTCTCTCTCTCTCTCTCTCTCTCAAGCTTGGCGGGCAGACGACGCCGTAGGGACGCCACGCCCTATTAAAATATAATTTACGGCACGTGACGCGGCTATGTTTCTCCTGGCCGTAACGCGGTGGAGGGGGAAAAGGGGGGGGGGGCGTTCGAACAATGCCAACAAACGTTTCAATGCCCGCCATGAACGGTGCGGTGCGCGGACAACGAAGGGGCCGCACAGGTAACCTTTGACCATCCGTCGGGGCACCTCCGCAGCGCGCAGCAAGGCGCACCACTCCCAGGCTCATTCCGAACGGAGGGGGAGGGGAGATCCCCCCCCCAACTGTGAGTTCCGATCAACGCCTGACAGTAGGCGGCCCACTTCACCACATGCCTCTGTAGGCAGGCAAACACTAGGGACCGTATTGTGCTTAAGTACCTGTACATAGCTTTCATATGGAGGAATTTGTCAATAGTTATGGACAATGAGAGTACATGGCCATTTGATGTTCTCGCGGACTTCCACACGCGAGCGCTGTCAAGGCGAGGGGGATGAGAGCAGACATAACCTGTCCAAACGTAAACTTAACCAACCCCCCTTTCCCCTCCCCACAGCCAAATTTACGGTGTTCGCCCTTCCACAATAAAGGGAAGCGCGGATTCGCCTGGGAAATGGTGTAAAACAAGAGGCCTTCTGGGCGTGGTTCGTTCCGCCGTTCGGGGGCGGGACCAGGGCAGACCAGGGCGGGACCCTCGGCCTGGGGGCGTGGCACCGTGGCGTCAGTGCCGCACTGCATACTGTGTTCATAAAAGCCGCGAGAATTACCCTAATTTGGCCGAAAATAAAAAGAGAGGCGCAATTATGTTCATGAATGGCTGGCGCGCTGGGCGGGTAACGACACTCTCTGTCTCCCTCGGACAAGTATGTAATACGGGGGTCGTAACGGAGCCAATCACAGCGTTGCAAAATCACGTAACCAAATACGAGCGCGCCGTATAACACACAGAGAGAGGTTTGAACTGCACTACCTTGAGCACTGTGAACATTTCGGTTGTCACAGGCTGATTTTCCTTCCAAGGGTGACATCAGGAACAATAGGGGTTTAGATGAAAATTTCATCAATTTAGGAAGAAATTGTCCTCTTATTTTAGTGATGAAACTGTCATCCACGATTTTGTCACACGGTGATGACAAAGTTTTGCTGTGAACTCTGGCCTTGGCAAATCTAGCGACTCGGGTCTCATCAATTGGAGTCGACACGTGAATACACAAAAAACTTCAATGCTAATGATCTTCCGCAAAAGACAGAATTCCAGCAATGGAAACCTCCTTCCAACAAAGACGGAGCGAGAACCGCACTGTAACGCCCGTGCGGTGTTTGGTATTCATCCTCATGAAGCGGCGGCCGACACCGACACAGCCGCGCCGTAGAGAATAATTCGAATAGCAGCTCGATTTGAATAGGAGCCGTTAAATTAACGCGGCGGAAAGCAGTCATGGGCATGCCTTGCCCCAGAGCCAGTCCAGTGCCAAACAGGCGTGCAACCGAGAGAATAGGCATACATTAGCACGTGCAGTGCAGGCACGTTCGTTCGTCATTTGTTTTCATGCTTCGCCATTCCGAGAAAGCATACCTCGCCTTTGTCCCCAAGGCTCGGACGATGTGAACCGACACAACTTTTATTTTCTCTGCCAATCGGCAGCGCTACATGGACTCACTAGAACAATTGTGGTCCTTACCGATTTGCACATGGATAACATCGGGTGTCATCTGTTATACATATCTATTTTTTTAATCGTAAATGTACATGTTGCTGGTCTGTATTTTAAACTAAGATTACTTAACTTAGGATTGCCATTTTGGACCGGTGAATGTGGGCCAGCAATAGGCAGGCAGGTAACTTACCGAAGAAGGCGGGTGCAGATGTCCGAGTTCGGTCGAGGTCAACTTGACATGGAGAGCGCTGGCTGAAAGCGCGTCCATTCCCTCCGGTCCACACTTGAATGCTTCGAGGTCCTCTTCAGGTTTGTACTAAGTAGGCGATATCACAGAGCGTTGGCCCGCCGTTGGCGGCTTTGACTAGTAGCACCTCACAGTCTATCACAAGGCTTCTTAATAAATAAAGTCTGTA